ACTGAAATGGCAGTTTTTCAAAATAAGATTAAGTGTGTGGCTATCACTGCCAGACAGCAAAATATCTTATAATGCTAAGATATTAAAATAAGTTGAGACTACTAAAAAAAATGCAAGAAAACAAAAAACCCAGGTACAGTTCCTTTTATGTGGCATATTTTAGCATCCTCCAAAATCACTCTGCAAATCAGAGGAGAAAGACAATTTTATTCAACAAATAGTGTTCATATATGAGGCTATCAAGCTGAGGAAAATAGTTTGAGCTCTACAAAAACATATACAATCAATTGTTCAATTAAAATGCTAATTGCAAAGAAATTAGATTATATCAAGTGAATACTGATTTCATACTGGGAAGGACTTACTAATCAATAAAGCAAAAATAGAAATATCAGGAAAGGGTTAGATTTTGATTACACAAAAATAAAAATCATTTTATGTATCAACAATATCTCTGACAAAATTTAAAGTGAAGTTAAAAACTGAGAAAGATTAACAGACTCTGTAACAGACAAGAAGTTAATTGTTTTGTTTTCCATGCCCAGTGTGGAGCCCAATGTGGGGCTTGAACTCACAACCCTAAGATCAAGACCAGAGCTGAGATCAAGAGTGGGGTCTCAACCAACTGAGCTACGCAGGCTCCCCAAGAAGTTAGTATTTTTAACACAGAACTGATATTAAGAGTCAATTGGTTAACACAAGTATAGTTTTTTAATGGGAAAAATGTAAAAAAGTTCATAGAAAACAAAGTTCTAATTATAATAGGAAGGGACTACTGTGCCTTTTGTTACTAGTCAGAGGAAAAAATGGACCTAAGAGAAGTTACTCTTTTTGCATTTAAAATTGGTAAATTATTTCATGTGCTCATTTCTTATGTGAATATTTTTGGAGTGTCTGTTATGTGCTGGACACTGCTAAGTATGGAAATATTTAAAAATAAAGTTTTCATGTCCTTTGTGGTTGCAATAAAATGCTAACTCTCCTAGACTCCTAATGGGAGTTTAAATTAATACAACATTTCTGGAAGATAATATGGAAATATCTTCAATATTCATATGATTTAATTCAATACTTATGTTTGTGGGAAAAAAACTATTAGAATATTGTGCATGTATGTGCACACATCTGTGTTGTTCTCAGTTTCACGTATAATATCTAATGAATTGGTAATGATTAAGAATAGAGAATTGGTTAAATTAATTATGATCAAACAATATAGCCATGAATGTCTGTTGAATAAATAAATGAACTGTGATATAGTGATTTCCATTATGTTTTAATAAATAATTATTCAAGTAACATAATTGCAAGCATTCTAATTTTTTTTAATGTAATAAAATGTGGTAGTTACATGAATTACACATGTGATAAAATGATATAGAACTAGAAACATATTTACCAATGTCTAATTCCTGGCCTAATACTATGCTAGACTTAGCATAAAATGTCATGGAACCATTGGGAGAAACTGGGAGAAGGAACATAGAAGCTATCTGTGCTATCCTCACAATCTCCTGTCAATTTATAATCATTTTAAAATAAAAAATTAAAACAATATAGCAAAATATAAGAAATCAAAATATAAGAAAGACCTTTTTTATTAAAAACTGTAGCTTTGATTTTCAGCCCCCTCTTCTACTCATCCCCCATTCCCAAAGGTAACCACCGTTATGATTTTGGTGTCCACCTTTCCAGGTCTCTTAAAGTAATTTAAAATAAATTGAGATAGGTCAGATCACAAAAGGGATCTAGTTATTGCCATAGACTGAATATGATGTCCCTTAAAGGGGCACCTGGGTGGCTCAGTTGGTTAAGCAGCTGCCTTCGGCTCAGGTCATGATCCCAGAGTCCCCGGGATCGAGCCCCGCATTAGGCTCCCTGCTCAGCGAGGAGCCTGCCTCTCCCTCTCCCTCTGCCTGCCCTTCTGCCTACCTGTTCTCTCTCTCTCTCTCTGTCAAATAAATAAAATTAAAAAAAAAAAAATGATGTCCCTTAAAATTCTCAAGTTGAAACCTATTTTTCTGTAATTAGCATTTACAAGTTGCTTTCTTTTTATTTTTTTTTAAAGATTTTATTTATTTATTTGAGAGAGAGAGAGCACAAGCAGGGGGGAGTGGCAGGCAGAAGGAGAGGAGGAAGCAGACTCCCTGATGAGCAGAGAGCCTGATATAGGACTCTATCCTAGGACCCAGAGATCATGACCTGGGCCGAAGTCAGCCGCTTAACTGACTGAGCCACCCGGGTGCCCTAAGTTGCTTTCTTTTTTAACTCAAAAAATAAGTTAAAGAAATGGCAACATTAATGCCTGTAGGTCTAGTTTGTTCCTATTAAGTGCTCTGTAGGGGGGTGCCTGGGTGGCTCAGTCAGTTAAGTGTTTGCCTTCGATTCAGGTCATGATCCCAGGGTCCTGGGATCCAGCCCTGCATAGGGCTCCCTACTCAGTGGGTAGCCTGCTTCTCCCTCTCCCTCTGCCTGCCACTATCCCGGCTTGTGCTTGCGTGCATTCCCTCCCTCCCCCCCGCTCTGTCAAATAAATAAATAAAAATCTTTATAAGTGCTCTGTAGAATTCCAAGGCAGGAGTATCTGTATCATTTAGCCATTTTCTAAAAAAGGCCTTTTAGGTCATATCCAGTATTCTGGTATTGCAATTAATGTGGCAATTAAAAAATGTCTCTATATAGTTTCTCTTTTTCCTCCCCGGCTTTGTTTGTCAAGGATATATATTTAGAAGGGAAATTACTTACTTGAGGTCAATGCAATTTTTGTTTCAAATAATACTGGCAAATTGCCTTCTAAAATGCCTGATTCAGGGTGCCTGGGTGGCTCAGTCGTTAAGCGTCTGCCTTCAGCTCAGGTCATGATCCCAGGGTCCTGGGATCGAGTCCCACATCGGGCTCCCTGCTCGGCGGGAAGCCTGCTTCTCCCCCTCCCACTCCCCCTGCTTGTGTTCCTGCTCTCGCTATCTCTCTCTCTGTCAAATAAATAAATAAAATCTTTAAAAATAATAATAATAATAAAAATAAAATAAAATAAAATGCCTGATTCAATTTACATTCCCTCTTTATAGAATGTGAGAAGCCTTTTTCCCACAGGTCTACATACAATTGTTTCTATTAACAGTTTATATTTTTCTAAGATTAAGGGCATTCCTGTTTTAATCTGCATTTTCCTAATAATCTTCTGTTGTTTGCTTCCTTAATCTTAAAATGTATTTAGATTTTAGTTTTAAATGGTATGAGGTATGAATTAATTTTATACTATTATATTTTTACATTATAATAATAACCTTCTTGACATTTATTGAACTGTTTTTCCCATTAATTTTGGTGTGTGTGTATGTGTATCTCCTACTTGAGCTCAGTGAAAAAATTATGAAAATATGAATAAAATTATGAATACCAAAAATGTATATGAAATATATACACATGCATGTATACATATACTTATATCTGGACTTTTTATTGTTACTTATTCACTCATAAACTAAGATTCTACACTATTAATTTCCACAGCTTTATGATCCATTGCTACCTGACAGAAGAAACCACTCTTCTTTGTTCTTTTTAAATTTTTTTCATTGCTAGTCTTATGCTTCGATATGTATTTTTTAAACCTTTGTTGACTCTTGTAACAATCACAACTGAGAAACTACAACATAGATGAATTTAGGGAGAATCAGCATCTTGATCTTTACAATGTTGAGCTTTCCCTTTTGTAAACATAGTAAAGATTTCCATTTATTCAGGTCTTTTCTTGTGCCCTTTACTAACATTTGAAAACTTCCTCCATAATGGTATACTAAAACTGCTGGGATTTGTAGGTTATCCGTTTGCTGAATTTGGAGAGTTTCTATTACTAGTGTGAAAGAAATTAATAATATTCTCCTTATTTATTGTTGCATTTTCTAATTTGCTTGTTGCTATTCATGAGAAAATTTACTGATCTTTGTCTTTGATCTTGTATCTGGCTACTTTGCTTGACCAACTAATTTAGTCTCGTTAAAAATCAGTTTCTCTCTATAAATCTGTCACTAATAACATTTAATATATCTTCCATTTTATAGTCCCAAAAAAGGAAATCTGAGGAGGTTATACCATGCTAACTTTACATAATCAACAAGAGGAAATTCAGGCCCCGAATGTTAAGTTTTTTTGAGGGCTGGAACATTTTATCCCTGGTACTTGGGATAAAATCATTACAGAGTAGGAAATCAAAAAACATTAGCTTGCCAAATGAAATCCCACACACACAGATATGTTCTGGCTATTAACAGGATTAGATGGGAATAAAATGAGGGATTTGAAATTAATACACGTAGAACAGTCTTGAAGCATAAGGTAAATGTGGGCTACTCTTCATCTTATTGTGTGAGAGGCATTATTGTGCCATGCTTGAGGGACAAATTGCCTAGGTTAAGTTCTGGCTCCACCACTTACAGCTGAGGGTTTTTGGAAGTTCACTTAACTTTTCCAAATTTCAGTTCCTTCATATATAACCAGGGGCACAAATAATGGGACACATGTCTAAGGCATATAGTATTATATGAGTTAACAGGTAAAGAATTTAAAATAGCATCTGTCACATTAAAAATATTAATGATTGTTAGTTGGCAATCTTTGCAGCATTTAGAGCAGGGCCTTAGACATAGTAGAAACTTAAAAATGTTTAACTTAAATTCAACTGGGGTGGGACAACTAACACCCGGTTTAGTTTCAAGGGAACCAGTAATATTCCCATATTGCCTATCTTATTGCAGATAAATGCATTTTTCCATAATAAGAGCTGCTACTATAACACTGATTATAAACTCATTCTAACAACTCCTTGTCCATAGCTTCTCACACAATGCAATACAGAAATATGTGTGTATCACATCGCCTCAAGCCACATCCCCACCCTGATCCCAATATAATCAATTTACAAATACCTTTTGCTCTACCTCCAAAATATACGCAGAAAATGTCTAATTCACTCAAGGCTGCTATCCCTCTCCTCTCACCTGGTCAATGAAGTGGTCTCCTTTCTCATTTCCCCATTCAATCCATTTCCACACAGTGGGGCGAATGGTCTCTGAAAAATAAAAAGTAGCTCAAATCACTCTCTTACAATTCTTCAATTTAGAATCTCAGATTCTAAATAAAAACAAGACTCTTCACCATATTCTAAGACTCTTCATGCTGGAATCCCGTCCACTCTCAAATCTCAAATCATTTATGGACAGAGGAAAGAACAAACGCAAAAGCTCTGAAGCAGAACACTTGCTTAACCTCACTCACTTTCCAGTCAACACCTGCTTCCCTGCATCTTTAAATGGGGGAAACCCTTATCTCCTAAGACCCCAGCTTAAAAAAAAAATCCTCAGAGATATCCTTCATTGAGCACTCTACTGAAACCAATTTGCCAATATCTACCCCAATCCATCTCTGTCATTTATCCCACTTTGTTTTAAACATAACACTCACTACCTGAAATTACCACATTTCTTATCTGTCTCCACCCCACCAAATCCTACAATCCAAAATTCGAATCACATTAAAAATTATAGCAAGGACCTTGTTTATCTTGTTCACCACTATACCTCCAGCATCTTGAAAACTACCTGCCACATAGTTTATACCCAGTAAATATTTGCTGAATGAATATACAAACACGGTTTTAATATTAAGTAAGAAACTGCTACCTCACTCCCCTCCTTCAACATATGTAATTTCAATAACTTCAGTATCTAGGACTTAATGGTTTTTGTTAGTTTTTACTTTATAACAGATTTCTCAGAACACAGGAAGATACTTTCTCACTATATATTTATAGGCTCTGTCTTATAGAGCTTCATTTGTAGTGATGAAATCTGATTTAAGGTTCTAGAAGTGCTACTGTTTTGTTTTGTTTTTAAGACTTTATTTATTTGAGGGAGACAGAAAGTGTGAGCGTGGGCAGGGGCAGAGGGAGAGGGGGAGAGAGAATCTCAAGCAGACTCCCTGCTGAGCGCAGAGCCAGATGTGGGGCTCAATCCCAGGACCCTGAGATCATAACCTGAGCCGAAATCAGGAGTTGGCCACTTAATGAACTGAGCCACCCAGGCGCCCCTAGAAGTGCTATTGTTATAACTAAGCTACCTCCAAAAATTTCTAAACTCACTTCCCATAAAAAGTCTTTCCATACCTGTATTGCCCAAAGATTTAAATATGGCTATTCTGAATTTATTTTCTCACCTGACTCAAGAAAATACTTCTATATAAATAAAACGAGATATATTTTAAATACCATCTTCAATTGCCTATCTTCATCTTACTATATAATTACAAAATTATCAAAGTCACATTCTAAATAGAAAAAAAAATTCACAGGATAAATGAATGAGGAAGTGATTAAGCTAAAATTGCCTCTGTGAAAGTTAAGCTGAGCAAATGTGATTCAAGAAGTGCTTCACTCGTTGATTGTTCTGCAAAGGAAGGGAGAGTTAAAAAATACTTAAAGTCAAGGTCATAAGGGGTAAATCATTCTGAGAATATTAATGAGCATTTATGCTATGAGACCTACATTAACAAAAGAAGGGCTGATCAGGTAATTAATCCTTGCATCTATTTATTTGTTTTTGCTTATTTGTTTCCTTCACCTAGTTTCCACTCTTGTTTATGCACACATCCACTTAGGTAACAAAACTTATTGTAGGTCTGCCATAAGGTAGGCCTCCACATCCAACCCAAAATCTGGTTTGGGTTGGATGTGGAGGATAGAGTGGTATATAAAATCAAACAGTTTCCCTATATCTGTGAATCTTGGAGTTCAACCCACAAACTCCATAATTTCTGATTCCTGCCTCTCCCTTTTGTTTACTGACAGGTAAAATTTCAAAGCGTAAATGACCTTATTTTAAATAGTACAATATCTATAATCACCATTAAAAGAAACTACGCATGATCTGGAAGAACAGGAAAACAATTTTTCAGTTACCAAACTGTGTATGTTTCCCCCTTCACTACTCATCTCTGCTTCATGAGGTTCTGATAAAGCCCTTTGAAACTATAAAATCCCTAGCCTCTCAAATACTAATATTATACCTACTTAAATTTTTGTGCAAATCATCCAACATTCTAAGGTAGGTCCTTTAGAAGTCATTGATGGACTATATTACATCACTATGTGATATGTACTCTTCCTTCTCTACATACTTTTTCATTCAACTTCTCGGTCATCCTTTTCTTGGGTATGACCACTACAGTTGAGTTGCTCTGCCTAGCTGCAACTTGAAAGTCACCTATGGCTTCCAGAATTCATACAACACATGACTTTCAGAGCACACATTTTTTTTTTTCCTCCAATGGAAAGAGAAATCATGATCAAAGGTGGAAAAATCTATGAACACTTTATTCTGGAGTTTATTCTTATATCCATGTCCCTTATTTGTTAACTTTTCCTTTCTGTTTTCTATACTAATAAGCATCCCAGACAACACTTAATTTATTATAATATCCAGAAGCTAAAATAGACTTTCCTGCATGTAAATGATGCATTAAGCCAGATTTTTATATTTTAAAAGTCAATAATTTTATTAAGTGTAGATTTTCAAAATCCTTAGAGAAAATTATATATATATATATATATATACACTCTCTCTCTCAAATAAATAAAATAAAATCTTAAAAAAAATACAAAGAGAAAAAATATTCCAATTAATTTTAATTGGTATATTAAAATTGGTAATATAAATACACATTTTTTTTTAAGACAACTCTGTCCTGGAAAGCAATATCTGATTAACTAAAGCTACTTGAATTTTTAACAATTTATATAGATAATTTAAAAGACATAAAGAACAAGAGAATGGGCCACCATACACTCATCGGCCAGCATCAGTTTTGGTCAAGTTTGGGCTAATCTTGCCGTGTCTGTACTGGCACTGAACTCCCCCCTCCCAAGATTATTTTGAAACAAATCTCAGATATATTATCTCATCAGTAAATATTCAGCATGTGTCACTAAGATATAGGACATAACCATAATACTATTATACATAAATCATTAAATATAATTACACTTAAAATCACTAAAAAATAATTCCTTAGTATCATCAAATACACAGTCCACAATTTTTTCTTGCTTAAGCTTAATTGGGATCCAAAATAAGGTTCACACATTAGAACTACTAAATATCTCTTAATCTTTTTTTAATCTATGTCTCCATCTTATTTTTCCTTACATTTTCACCCCTGTGGCTGAAGAATTCATGTCATTTGTCTTGTGGGGTTTCCCACAATGTATGCTTTAGTCATTATACTCTTGAAAACTGTTTAACATGACCCTCTTTCATCTGATTCTCCAGTAATGCGAAAGCTCTGGAGACTAAATGATAGTCCAATCTATTCAAGAATTTTTTTTCCATCATTCAATAAGTAACCAAAAAAAAAAAACTGCAAACAAATCAAATATCCATCATGGGGAACTAATTGAATAAAGTATGTATATCCACAACATGCAGTATTGTGTAGCTGAAAAAAGAAATGAGGAATTCCTCTAAATAGCACTATGTGGTGATTTCTCTACATATATTGTTAAATAAAAATACAAAATACAAATGCATGCAATGTGCTACAATTTATCTCAGAAACTAAGAATAACAATGTATGTGACTAACTGCTAATATGAAAAAGTGCAAATGGATAAGCCATAATTTTTTTTTAAGTATTTACATATAATGAGAGAAAGAGAATGGGGTAGAAGGAATGTGAAGACAGGAACTACATTTCTTTGAATAAACACTGTTTTACATATTTTATATAAGAACAATGTAAATATTCCACTTAATTATAAAATGAAATGATATGTAAAGAAACAATTCCTAAAAACTGAGAATAATATGAAACAAGTGAACCTGTATAAATAGTTGGTGGCACAAAGTACAAAGAGAGGGCGCCTGGGTGGCTCAGTTGGTTAAGCAACTGCCTTCGGCTCAGGTCATGATCCTGGAGTCCCTGGATGGAGTCCCTCATCGGGCTCCCTGCTTGGCAGGGAGTCTGCTTCGCCCTCTGACCCTCCCCCCTCTCATGTGCTCTCTCTCTCTGATTCTCTCTCTCTCAAATAAATAAAATAAAATCTTAAAAAAAAAAGTACAAAGAGAAAAAATATTCCAATTAATTTTAAGACATGGCAATTTGAGTGCATATCCTTAGTGGGGTATACCCTTTGGTAGGAACTGAAAGAACTGGAAAAATAAAATATTTTTAGTAATTCTATATTTGGTGGTAACATTGGTAATGTACTCTGAGAATGCTGTTGGTGTAGGGTGGGATCAAGCAAATGAGAATTTATGTTGGTAACATTAAAGACAGTCTTTTGTCTTAGAAGAAATTAGATACAATTTTTTTTTAGATACAATTTTTAGATGAGTAAATCCTATTGTCCTAAATCAGAAATCAGAATTAGAAATAAAAGTTTAAATTCATGTTTTATTTTATAAATATATTTTATACATATATTAGAGAGAGAGAGAGAGAGACTGTATATATAATACATTACATATACACACACACACATACCATATAGGTGTGTGTTTATGGAAAATGCCTAGAAACATGGCCCCTCAGTAGCAATAAATACATACTAGTATCCAGATTTTCATCAGTAAGTGCAAATTCTCACTAAAAGAAACCACATTTCTTAGGAGAAGTGGCAGATTCTTGATCTGATAAAGATATATATAAAATCAGTCTTTCATATCTTGTCATACAAGGAAATAAGGAAGCAATCAAAGACAACTAGAGTCTGCCAAAGGACCTCCTGGGCCAAATAGAACCATTTGGGGAACAACAAGATAATAAATGCAATGAGTTAAAACACATCAAATATATTTCATTACCTTAGTTCATGATTATATTAAAATAAACAAACTTAGTGGTCAAATTCAAAAGATGAAGGGAAACCAAATTATTATTGTGAAAACTAGAAAATGAAAGACGGGAAAAAAACAACAACAACACTTGTTTTCCATCTGGAAAGTATACCTAAGAAGGGGCGCCTGGGTTGCTGTCAGTTAAGCGGCTGCCTTTGGCTCAGGTCATGATCTCAGGTCC